CTTTCTTCCTTTCTTTCTTCCTTTCTTTCTTCCTTTCTTTCTTCCTTTCTTTCTTCCTTTCTTTCTTCCTTTCTTTCTTCCTTTCTTTCTTCCTTTCTTTCTTCCTTTCTTTCTTCCTTTCTTTCTTCCTTTCTTTCTTCCTTTCTTCCTTTCTTCCTTCCTTTCTTTCTTTCTTTCTTGTTTTCTCTATTAGGAGTTGAGCAGTCCTAAATAAGGTCCTAAGACTTCGACAGGCTTTCATTCAACACTGACTAAGAAATGACTATCAGCTCAGAAAGAGAATTGTCAATGAAATCAATTCATTTTCATACATTGACAGAGCAGAGAAATCTGTGGAAAAAAAAAAAAAAAAAGAACATGGAAGTTTTAAGACTGCTTAAGGCATTCAGGCATTTGCTGAATATATATACTTTTTTTGTGATTTTTTTTCTCTGCTGAATATATATACATATGTATATATATAGTGATTTTTTTTTCTCAAAAAGAGAGAGGCATCACTTCCACTTACTTTTTCTCTGAGAAAAAATGTGCTACATCAGATAGAAGTGTCAATAGCTCAAGAATCCAGGAATGAGGCTGATGGACAAATATAGATGTGGTGTAAGCAAGCTAGACTTCATTAACATATTTGGAGATACACTTGCTGGTCCCAAGTCCGACTTTTGGGCCTGAATCAGCAATTCCCCAGCGAATAGTGTCTCTGAACCCAGTGCCGAATTTGGCCCATTCCATCTGACATCTGCATCCTGCCTCGACACATACTGCACATCAGATCACACCTGCCTAGGCAGTCATAGGCAATTGACTTCTTTTTTTTTTTTGTAAAAAAAAAAAAAGTCACATATCATCAAGGAAAACAACATTGTTTTAGGACTCTTATCTCTTCACTCCCAAATATCCTGTTTCTTCGAGCTGCAGTGGCCAGGACCAATAGAAACCTCTTCCTGCCATTGGCTGACTTCATTTCCCAGAGTTAGCACAATCTCATCCGCTCTAAACAACCTCATCAAAACTTCTTTCTGGTCAGAGCGAAGCAAAAATTATTATTAACAATTATTAGCAATCAATAATCTTGATCACATTATGGCAAGCACTATTAAGGTAAGAAAGGGGTACCTTTTTATTGGCATTTTTTACAGAAATGTGTTCTTTGGTTTCCTTTATCAAGCTAGATAAGTTAGAATTGGGCAACACCCCCACTGCCACAATAGAGGACAACAAGATTTCCTTTGTACTGCCTAGTAAATTTCCTTTTTCCTACTCCAACCATCCGCAAGGCTTAAAAACTTCAAACTCGGAAAAAAATTGGGTTTTTTAAATTCACTGTTCAGTGCTGTGGATTGCATATGCAAAGCCCTTTTAGGAGAGCTTCGGAAATTTCTTGTAGACATCATTACAACAACTTGGACGGGTTTCGGACTGCAGTGAGGGGAGAGGGTGCTCGCCGAAAGGCAAAAAAGGGCTCCGAAGCGCGCTAACCTTTTGGATACTTTTAAAGGTTTCTCTTGTGGATGGGGACATGGATGCTAGCTCGCAGGAGAGAGCAGCACCAGCTCACTTCTGTACCATGTCGATGTTAATGAGGTGCTTTTTGAGAAAATCGATCCTGGTGCTCAGGACCACGCTTAATGCTATTTTAATGGTGGCGGCAGAATCTCCTGGGTGTGTTCTTTTTGTTCTGTTTTTTTGGACAATAAAATTCTCCTCCTGAGTTATAAATTTCTCTTGGTGCGTAAGTTTTGTCTTTTTAAGAATAGCTTTGCTAAGTTTTTCGGGTTGTGTCACTTAGAAAATTGAATAAATCTATATGTCTGTCTATCAAGTTTTTGCTTTTCTCTATGTTGCAATAGATAGCAGCTACAGATATAGCAATAGCTGTGATTAAGTGCAGAAGTATAACTGTAACTAAATGCTTTGTGATAGTGAAACTAATTGTACGTAAAGAGCAAAACAGCATGTACGGGGAGGACTCTGTCTCATTATATTATCAGATTTGGGATCAAAGTATTTGATTTCTTCATGGTATTGTGTATTTTTATACTTTTCTTATTGTGCCAGCAATTTAGCAAAAGATGTAGAGGAGCAGCAGTGCCTGGCCATTAGCTAAGTGGAGCTGCTGTTTGATTCCTGAATAACTTCTGCTTAGTCATTTATGTTTTAGTGATGATTTGATGCTTTACGTTAAATTTTTTGAAAAATGAAAGTATTGCCTCAAGACAATGTGATTAAACAGAAAATGAATCTTCCATATTTGTAGTCAGTGAGGCTTTCTAGAGTTTATCTATAGAGAAAAACATCTGACTCTACTCTGCTTTGCTGGCCAGTATCTATTATATGCTAAGCGGCTCCCAAAACAGCTGCATTACCTTTGGCTTCACTGTGCAATTCAGAGCACAGAGGAGATGAAAGGATAGGACTCTATATGAAGATCTTGAGGTTCAGAAAGTGAAGTTTTGCACTGTTAAAAGAAGGTGATATGTGCTGTAATAGTAGTACATGTGGAGTGTTTTGCATCTATTAAATAGAACGTATTACTGGGGAATTGTTATTATCAGTGGGAATTGGAATTTTTCTTCAAACACTATGGTGCAATTTGCCTAGATATTGTATATATTTTGTGGAGGTTTTGCTATTTCTTTTTGACATTTTCCCTCAGCTGAATTGTAGTAGGGTAAGCGATAACAGGCATTATCAATTTGTTGTTATTTTACATCTACTTTACACTATCAGGAAGAGAATATATTGCCATGCATTGTACAGCCTGTATACTGCTGGCAGCAAAGCCTCCTAAGTGGAAAAAAAATACGTTTTTGACTCCTCATTTGAGAGTGTGAAACCTGTGGGGGAAACATGCACCACAAAACCTTGTGATTTTGGCCCTCAGTGCCAGAAAGTCTTTATATTTTGTAGCAAGGTTTTTATCTATTCAAGCACAAAATGTAAATTGTTTGGGAAGAAATGACAGGTGCTTTCTACTATGGATGCAGGAAATGTACTCTGACATGAAGCTGACTGAGTCCCAAGAGATTCAATTCCACTTTTATATTGGGTATATAGAGAAGTTATTTAACTGAGGGAAGATTGTTGTAATAGAAATATTCTATCTGTAGGCCAAAGGGATGCTTGTGTCTTTGCTAAGCCGCTTTGGAATATGGTAGCTATTTTTTTTTGCAAATGTGTTCTCTGCTGGTGACAAGTAGCATAGTTTTTCCAACATAGGCATCATGAAGCTATAGCTGTGAATGTAGAAAGCCTCACATGGGATCTCTGCTCAGGACATTTAATGGTCTTTTTTTTTTTTTTTTTTTTTTAGGGAATCTGTAGAGTCATTAAGTGTGAAAATAGGGTTCTGAATGGCTATTTGTTTGCTCATAACCAGGTAGAAACCACTATGGATGCATATACGTTGTAAAGGTGGCTTTCTATTGTAGGTGTTTGATACATCCTTTTTATATCGCGAATCTGCAGACCGTTTGGATACATGAGAAGCTAGACTGGCTTAATTGGGTCTAGCTGGTATATTTGAAGGAAAAGTTTATATAAGTTTTTTGCAACTGGTGTTGATGTCACAAGCCTGGTTTGGTTAGGAAATACATCTCTTCTCATACTCTAATTTCCTTCTATTGCCCCCCTCCTTTCTCCTTTCCACCCCTTGCCCACAGTGATAGGAAAAGTGGCATAATTCACAGCCCGGCTCAGTGCTGATAAGCAGGTAGAGCAGATTCTTTAACTTTTGCCACTGATGTCTTTGGTGAAGAGTTTCTCCTAAAAAGGAAGAAGCAGCTTTGCCTTTTCCTAGACTATGGAAGAGATTAGTTGTTTTAATTTTGACATTTCTGTGTAAGAGGAGCTATCTGAGCTTAAGCTTCTTTGTCTGCATGGTCCAGATTTTGGTTCTGTACAGTCAGGATGTGGATTATTTTTAGTATATTTATATCATCTACCTGATGCATATATGGATAATCTCACTGTTGCATCTTTTTTTTTTTTTTTTTTCATTCTAAGGAAGAAAAAAAAAAGGCTTTTTGAAATGGGGAACCTGACCTAACAGGCACAATTTCAGCACTAAGGTGACAAGTTTTCTTCTGGCACAAACAGCATCTGACAGATGTGTGCGGTGGCACAATGATGCAGAGCAGTGAAGCCAAAGACTATCAGATCAATACAGCCCTATTAATTATGTATGCCACAAATTACAATAAGTACAATTTTAGAAAATATGAAAGGCTTCTGAAATAGACATTTTTTAATCCTTCTTAGAATTGAACAAAAATTACGCAAGTGTCACCTTGTGATGAAGTAACCATATTTGTCCTGAAGGTCATCCTATTTTTCTCCATTATCCTGCAGTGAAGGAAAGAATGTTAAATATAAAAATGAAGCTAAAATTATAATTCCTTGCCCTGTAGCTGGCCTTGCTGTATTTCTCTTCCTGACTACCAGTGCAAGAAATCTTAGAAAATCTTTTCAGTAAGTTATCTTCCGTTGTTATTTCATCACACTTGTGAATATTTCTTTTACTGTAATTTACTTCTACACATGTGCATGGCCACTTTTTGTTATTGATTTCTAATATACTGTTGGATCGGAAGCTATGATCCAAGAAAAGAGAGAAAAGGGAGAAAAGTCTGTGTATCTGATAATGGACAGGAAAATCGCTGTGTTTTGTAAGTCTAGAAAAGTATGAATGTAGTTATTAAAGCAGCATATAAAAAGGCAAGATTTTTCTAAATCTTTCTAAATCTAAATCTATAATTTAACTTCTCTAAATTATAGCTTCTTTTCACTTCTTTTTTTTTGGGGGGGGGTAAGGTTAACTACTCCTGCAAATATTTCTAAAGACAAGGAAAGCTAAAGAAGGTATTAAAAAATCTGTTCTTGTCATATGGTAATGTTTAAGTCTTTGTTTAGAGGGTTCCATCTGCACTGGAGCCAATAGAACTAATACTGCAATTTGTATTTCTCTTCCTTGCATAAAAAAAAAAGATTATTCTGTTTTTGTTCATCATCTCAACTAGCAAATGACACAATGCTATACTTAAATTCATGCTGTAAATGGTCCAGTTGTCTTTGGTGATATAATCCAACTTTCTTAAAGCTTAGCTCACACCTAAGTGCTTTGGTGAACCAGAAACAAGAGCAGAAAGAGTGCCTTAAACTGCCTACTCTGAACTTGTGCTCTTTAATTCAAAGTTTCCACCAATTTCAAGGGGATTTTTTTCCAATAAAGGCAGGAGAATCAGGCCTATAATTACTTCCAGATAAAGCAATATATCTGACTGAGATTTGAATGTAGGTTTGCAAATACAAAATAGCCATACTGAAACAGAAGAAGGTACTTAGGGACTATTACTTTGTTTTATCTTGCTTTTAATCAGCAGTCATTTAACTCTATCTATCTGGTTTGTGGCTATATGCACCAAAACTAAGTGCAATGTAAGGATTCTGTTTCCTAGAAGTAAGTCTGCAGGAAAGGAACAACAACTGGAAAATGCATATTCTTGACTGTTTGGGATTGTTTGTTTGTTTGTTTTTCTTAATAAGAACTATACGGTCTTGTAACAAAATGGTTTTCAGCAGTTCCATGTGTTACAAAGGGGCTTTCAGAAGTAACGTTAAAAGAATCAAAAGCCCTTAAGGAATGCCTTGTTGAAAGATAAATGCATATTTTTAAGAAACATGAGTGCCAAAAGAAGATATTTACTTCCCAAGTGACAGTTTATAATTCAGTGCAAATATATAATGCTGTTCCCACAAAAGGAAGTAGGCTTCACAATGTAAGTTTCTGATTATTTTGGAAATAAGCAAAGTGTGTAGGAAAAAAATTTGTGTTTATATCACTTTTATAATCTATTTTAACAGAGTAAAACAGATTTCCCAGTTTACAGTTAATTAGGTAAAAATTATTTTTCTTTAATAGATAGTGGTACAGTAAAAAATGCCACCAGCAATTACTCACATTGTCCTTAGTGATAATAGTCTTGTGCAGTGCTTGTGCTCTGCTTATCATTCTTCTGTTCTTAATACACATTTGTGTATTAGAGAAGAAATGCTGACTGTCTTCAAAACACAGGAAAAAATACAGAAACTTCAAAGTGCTT